TCTCTGTCTCTATCTCTCTGTCTCTGTCTGTGTCTCTCTTACACACACACACACACACACCCCATCATTCTAATCTCCATATTAAACATTTCTAAGCATCTTTTATTTCTGTGAAATGATTTATAGATTATAAACCTTCATCACACAATGAAAGGTAACTTAGTTGGAAAATGTAGCTTAGAAAATTGCCACCAGTCTATTTGTAAAATTTTTTTAAGTATTAATACCACTAGAGATACAGTAGCTAAAGTACAACAGAGATAGAGATACGGTAATCTTGTAATTGGTAAGCAAATCGAATTCAGAGTAAAGATAATACAATTTTGTTATGGTTTTTTAAGTTATTTATAATTTTATTTTATCTAAATCTGCATTCTCTTATTAATCTATTTATCTCCAGATGGCATGATTAAGTTTCCAAATTTCTAAGATTCTTCTGTTATGGTTTAACTTGTTTTATTTATATCAGAACAGCTGACTTCAACAGCTGGTTTTTCCTGAAATACTTTCAGTCAATAATTATCCATTTCAATCAATTCAGATCATCTGGTTTACTATAGTAGAATGATTCTATGGAGCATTTTAGTTTTTCTTGTACTTGAAATGAAAATTTGAGCTTAGAACTGCAAATTGTTTGCCTAATATCTCCGTGAAACTTTCTAATGGACTCAAAATAATATGCAGGCATCTGGCCAATGTTATTACCTATTGAATGATATCGATTCACTAATTGTTCTGTTGGTAGGTAATAGTACATATCTTTGACAATTTTTATTACATTCAGATCTCTCATGTTTCTTAAACACCAATTATAAGTTAAGCTGGCTATTTTTCCAGTTATGCTATATAAGTCACTTTGTAACTGAATATGTAAATATGCTCCATTGGTATAGATAATAAATGATGTAATGCACTCAAAATCCACAAACACATGAACAAAAGAAGTGAAGATAAAAAGCAAAATCATTAAAATTTCATGTAGTTAATGTAAAACAGATTTTTTTAATTATTAAAAAATGTTTTGATAATGTTCAACTGTGGAAAGTAGCATGGATAGTTGGAAAAGTACAGACATTGAATTTAGATAATCAGTGTATGATTCAGCTCTACCCCCTATTTGCTTTGACCTGAGGCAAGAAACCTTTCTTTCCTCAATTCCTTCAACTGTGATTTACTCTAAAAGAAAATTAGAGTTGAATAATTCTTAAATAAACACAAACTCTATTTTTGGAAGCAAAAAAGAAAAATATACTTCTAAATATATTCTAAGTAAAATATACTTCTAAGGAATTCATAGGTCCAAGAGGTAGTAAGAAACGTAAATAGACAAAATTTATAAATAGAGATATAGAAATACCAAATATCAAAATACGTCATTACAATGCAGCACAGCAGTACTCAGGAGATTTTACTTCACTTCACTTTATTTATTTTTGTGAGATAAACTGAACAATAGGAAGCTAATTACCAATAAAAATAATGTTTAAGAAATGCATGAAGAAAAGTGTACAGGTGATTGAAAAGATTAGGAAGACCTAAACTAAATAAAGGAATAGATATAGCTCATGTTTGTTGGAACATGTTGTTGTTGGAAAATGCAATACAATAAAGTCAATTATACTTATATCGATCTATAAAGACAATGCATTTTTAAAATCCCCTATCACATTTCAACTGTTTTGATGTGAGCAAACAAGTTATTATCAAAATATATATTAAAAAGAAATTCTAAGAAAAAAATCTATGTGTCAGCAAGGCTGTTTCTTTTTGTAAGCTCTAGGGAGACTGTTTCTATTGCTCATTCATCTGTTGGCAGAAGTTAGTTTCTTGCAGTCTAAGGACTGAGGTCCCCATTTCTTGTCTGACTATTAGCTATGGACCACTCTTAGCTCCTAAAAACTGTCTCCAGTCCTTGGATATAGCCCCCACATCTCAGAACCAACACCAGTGAGTCTATGTGGTTCTTATATCACACCTCTCTGACCTTCTTCCATAGTTACATCTCTCTCTGACTATAGCCCCCAACATTTCTCTGCTTTAAAGAATTCATGTATTAGACTGAACTCACACAGATAATCCAGAATTATTTCTGTACCTCAAGGTCCACAATCTTAATCACATTTGCAATGACCTGTTTTCCACATACAGTAACATATTCACAAACTCCAGGGATAAAGACCTGAACCTTGGGTAAATATTTTTCTGGAAGCCTCATAAAGCGACAAGTTAACCAAGCTGATATGCTGGACATGTGTAGGTTTGTATATAATATGTAAAACAGCAGCTTTAGCTTGTTACCTGATTACTTTTTAAAATTAGGAACATACTTACTGAAAAATATTCTGCCATGCCTCTACATGGTTTCTCAGTTTTGAGTGCGGAGTTGTTTCTTGTAATTAGAACAGGGAGGAACAATATACACATATTTTAGAATGACTATAAAACTGAGTTGAGTCCTCTTCAGTTTTTTTGC